GTGGGGCTTGTAACTGACACTCAAGATCTCCCTCCTGCACCAGTCCTTCTAAATTCACCCCACCTTCAGTTAAACCCTCTGCTGGTCTCAGTGGCTCTCTTGATGGTGAGATAATCCCTCTTTCACGAGAAGTTGGAACACCTGGTAATCATACCTTCTTGGGCCAGGTTGCTACATGTGACCTTTCAAAGTCATAGTTGGGCAAGAGTATCAAGAGGCATCCACGTGGATCACCTGGGTTCCACACATATTTTTCCATGCTCTGTTGTGTAAAAGCAGCCCTACCTCCTCCTGCTGATCATGGTCAATGCTCTCTTCCACAGTGGATCCTCCTCTTGAGTGCTGTTCGTTATACAAAGGGAGTTCAAATTCCCCAAGGGAGCTCTATAAGTTGTTTAATGAGACCCTTGCTGTGTCTTCTAGGAAGAGTGGGCCCTCTTTGGGGATCAGGACTTTTTACCCTGTAGAGCTCAGAATTATAGGGATAGGAAATACAAAGTCCCCCAATGGGTCATTGGTCGTCTGGTCAGCTCACTTCATTCCTGATGACGAGTTCTCTCTTGAAGAGAGATCTCAGTCATGTACCACCACAGCTGCCACACCAGGCATTTGGGTACCTATCCCCTACCTGTAAGAGGAGCATGCATCCCCACGTATTGCTATGCAACTTGCAGTACTTTCCTGTTAGAGAAGAATATATCCCCACCCACTGATGTCAAGTTTGACCATGAGATTGGTTTTGGTCAGTGGAATAGGAGTGAAAGATTGCATGCCACATCTGAGCAGCAGTCTTGAAAGAAATCGTGTGTGTTAGGCAGAGCTTTCTTCCCTCTGTTAGGAGAACAACATGTCCCAATAGGAGCTAGATCCTAGAAGGAAGAAGACATGTCAGGCAGAGCCAGAGCTGATGAGCAAACAATCCAATTAATACAAGCAAGAAATAAACCTATGTTGTTACCAAGCCGTAAAGATTGGGGATGTTTGTTACTGCAAGATAACCTAATAAGATCTGACTAACACTTCGTACATATTCTTATCTGTGATATTTTGCCTGGTGTTTGTACCTTCCTGACTGTTTCTAACAGGTGTCTGTTTATTAATGACTCTAATTATTGTTCTTAATGTTTCTGGGGGAATTCTGGATTGGCTACCTAAGAAACATCTGGATATAGTTTTAAAAACACAAACTCATGGGCTACACCTATAGAAATTCTCATCTAACAGAAATGATTCAGTAGTTACCCTTAATCCAGGCATGGGAATCTGCATATTTTAAAAGCTCCACGGGTTCCTGTAGCAAATTCAGGAACTGCTTTTATGCTATATTCCACAATCTTCAATTTTCTTTGGATTAATCATCTTTCCTGGTCTCTTGAATCTAGATGTTCCATCACCTTTATTGTTTACCCTTAACTTTGACTTGAACAAGGGACTTCATGTCCAACTGATTCTTAGCCCCCATTTCCTCATCCTGCATTGACAGCCTGGTCAAACGGAACTTGCACCTGTACCTGCTATTGTTTGAAGCATAAATTGATTTTCTCTTGGCATAAGTATTAGTGTGTGTGTGTGTGTGTGTGAGCGTGCGTGCAAAAGTGCATATCTGAACAAAAGCAGATAGATGAAATTGTTTTGTGCTGATAAAAAGATAATTCTGAAATGAAGCAGCAGAGCTAATTAGCTGTCTGGGAAAAGGTACAGGCCCTATTTAGGTCAAAAGTAACAGAGAAATCGCTGATACAATTATTTCTGGTAACTCTCCCATAAATGCCTGTGTGCATTAGCACATGCATAAATCTCCCCAGGTGGCTGTGCTACTGGGAATGAGGTGACTGTCTAAATAAATCCTTAAAGCACCTTTTGCTCAGTGATATAACAAAAGAAATAAGGAAGAGACATGAGGATTAAAAATAAACTAAGGTGAAGTTAGATGAAATAAAATATTTCATCTTCTATGAGAAAGATCAAGGCCACAATCATCACAACTTGAAGATGAACCTCCCATACCATCCATTCTGCCCCTCACCTCCACTGCTCCATTCTTTTCTAAATTCTTAATAATTTTTCACTTATCACTCTGTTTGAGTAACCTTCTAGTTAATGTCCTGGTTGATGTTCTTAACACCACAAAATAGAAAAAAAAAACACCTGGAAACACTGCACAGACTTAGGATGCTCATTGTATGATGTGGAAATGTCACTTAGCCATTATTTTATTCTATTCATGCATCTGGATATTCCTTACTCTGTTTAGTGCACAGAGCTTCCAGCCACCTTTATTGCAAAGACTGTATACTTAGTGTCTGAATATCAACTGAAAATATTCAAAAACAAATGCATAAAAAAATTTTGATTGAGTGGCAAGTTATTGGAATTAAATGGCAGAATCAGAGATGATGTACTTGTTGAATCCTTTCTGGCTTTATCTATACGGACATGAAATTGTCGACAGTCCCTAGTTGAAGAGGGGGGAAAAATCTCATTTCCAATTATTTATTATTCTGACTGGAATGTTAAACTTATGACAAACAAACATTGCAATGATATGAAAGATACAATAAAGAGAATTGAAAAACCTTACCTTGAATTCCATCATGTTATGAAGACAGAGTCAGCTAAAATTAAGGTTAAAAAAGGCCTAAATAAACTTATATGTCTGGAAACATATACTCAAAAAGCTTCTAAAATTTATATAATCAAAAGTCCTTTTTGCCATTCATACATATCTAAGAAAATTAATCAAATATTTTGTAATGATGTTTCTTTTTGTTTACTCTATTGATGAATGAACTTCATAGATGGAGAAAACTCTAGAAAAAAAATCCCTTTTCACATTCACATTTACATCCTTTTTCTTTATGAAAGAGTCACCGCTACTTAATAGCATAGAGAAAGGTCCAAGAGTCACTTCTCATAAGATTAGTTGAACTTCAAACTGAGAGGGATAGTTTATATTTTTAATTTTTCCCCAAACTTTCCTATGTAAAACTTAAGAACTTTAAATTTGGACTTTAGATACCTGGAATACTTATGAAGTATTCAGAGCCATCTCACGATCAGAAGATATTTAAACCACCTCTTTGTGAGATGTTGCTATTTTATTCTGTGAGGCTAGATTGTTGAAACCAAGTTTCTAATGTAACTGAAGGACTCTAGAGGACTGAGAGAGGTTGACAATTCTTTCACCAATTTAAGCAAGTATTTTTCCTCCCTCCCTCCCTCCCTCCCTCCCTCC